GCAGAAAATTCATTAGCAAAAAAGATAAGGAAAAGAATAGTTGAGTCACATCCAATATTGGCAGCTCAATTAATAAATAAGCTACCGTTGATTAAGTAATCATAAAGGAGATAATCATCTTGGAGAGGAGTCATTCAGTAGGATCTTAAATTCTAAAAATATGTTGTTGTAATGTTACAATGGATATAAGCTTTCCTAGCACTGGCTTATGGACAGAGAAGCCATAGATAAGCTACATGGAAATTATGTGAGTTTCTTTGTTGTTGTGGGGTTATTTGCCATGAAAGGTACATGATTATGGTGAATAAGTCAAGTATAATACTGGTAGGATAGAGCAGCTACCCTTATTAGTTTAGGATGAGGATGTGAGAGACAATGCAAAGAAGCTACAGAAATGGAGACTGAAACAACAGCTAAAGATGATCAATGGCATTGTTATATAGTGGGATGACTTCGAAATTGTCAAAGACAAGATTTAGATACATCATAAGCGATGATTAACATGGTATTACAACCAGAACCAGGTATTATAACCACGCAAAAGATCTATATTCAAGTTTCACAGTCACCCTTTTATATAAATTTTGCACATATCAGATACTTGATTGAGAAAAACTGAAAACAGTCCGTAAGAGGTGTGTTGACAACGAGATTTAGATAAATATTAGTGGCTCCGCTGAAGGTTCTCTATGGAATTTCCTATGTTCTTGCTAAGAGTGAACGGAATTTTTCCATCTTTTAAAAAGGAACGAGAAATGGAAACAAAGCTATTAAAATGAACCCAGAATTCACTGAATTCGAAAAATTCAACTTGTGTGATTAAGTTTTCCCTAATTATTTAGCTAACAGGAAAACAAATTCATGTACTTGTTAGAAAGATGTACCTGATCGAGCAGCTGAAGTGGAACACATTGCACAGGTCCTCTGCAATCAAATATAAAGTTCAAAATCAAATTACATAAATGATTCAGAGTTCAAAATCAAAGTACACAGACAAATATATGATTTAACATTCTTATGATAATATAATAACCATTACAGATTCTGAGAAAAGTAAAATCGATGTTACCTAAGACTTTTATTGTCAAACATCTTATCATTAACTCAATTTTGCAAGCTAGATGGAACTTTTAATGAAAATCAT